ATGAGTTCCTTATTCGGAGGCATTCGTTCATTCATAATCCACGCACGAGTCAACTGTTACTAGCGTAACATTCAATGGTCGAGTGAACAAGTTTTACACGAGTAATTTCGATATTTCAGAGTTGTAGGCAAGTGTCCGTAACCCTCCGGGTCGTCTTCACGGAAGATGCTCTTTCGCAAGGACTTGGCTTTTTATTCATCAATTGATTTTTCAAGAGGATCGATGACATTTCAAGGAGACGAGCAATCGATTCACCCAGAGTCCGTAATGCATCGATGTACCTTTCTAAAGTACTTGTTCACAATTGCACATCAATATCGTTCTGCGGAAAGTCGATTAACCCGTTTTCAAGATACAGGAATTTTAAGAGATCGAGAATAATTGGGGCTCTTGCCTCGACTCTAGAGAAATTAATTTGTCATGAGGAAGAATATAAACTTGTTTCAGAATTTTTTTATGGAGTACTCTAGAGTTTTCTTGATGCAACCCATGTGACATTTTTGATGGGAAAAAATAATTGGAATTGCATTTCAGGATTATCCAAGAAAAAATTGAGATTTCATTGAAAAATCGGGAAACAAAAAATTGAATTTCTGGGAAATGTTTCGAAATTTTTTTCAAAAATTTGTTTCGGAATTTTTTTTTATAATTTGCTAGAAATTTTTGAGAATATTATTTTTTCTTTTAATTATAGTGCTGTTTCCTTCCTTTTTTGATTTTTCTATATTCTCAAAAAAAAAATGCCATCGAAAATTTGTTTCGGAATTTTTTTTTTATAATTTGCTAGAAATTTTTGAGAATACTATTTTTTCTTTTAATTATAGTGTTGTTTCCTTCCTTTTTTGATTTTTCTATATTCTCAAAAAAAAAATGCCATCGAAATTATTAAAAAAAATTTTCTATTCAAATTTTTGAAAAATTTTTCGAAACCTTTCCGAAAAATAAAATTGTTTTGTTTTGCAATTTTTTTTTGTTTCATAAAAAAAATTTCTGCAAAGTTTTCCAGAAATTTTTTGCAAATTCGAAAAAAATATTCCGATTACAATTTTTTTTTTACCCTGGTACTTTTTTCATTTTCAATACATTGTTCGAATCAGCTGAAAAAATTCCCTGAATATTCGATCCTAGTTTTTTTATTGAAATTTCCTGACTCGTGATATTCGTTTTTATTTATTTATTTTTTATTTAACTACTCCGTAAAAAATTTGAAGAATAAAATTAGGAATAAATGATAATTCCGAAAACGAAAGAG